CGGCCAAGTCTATCTACAAGAAAACTGTGCTAATGCTTTGTTCCCCGATTGCCAGTCCCGACGATCGTAGGCATCACGGCCCTGAATTGCTCCGCATCGTTGACTCTCGGAAACGGAACAACCGGGACGTCCTTCCCCAAGAACGCGCACAAGGGTGCCCATCCTTCGGCTATGTGAAATTCCATGAGTCTATCCTTCGGAACGACAGCGCGAAGATGCTCGTAGTGCGCTTCGTAGGCTGCGACGCCCAGTTCCTTCGTGAAGCTTTCGGGCGTCGCGGCATCCGGCGCCACACCGAAAAACGCGCTGAAGATGATCACCCCGAGTCGGAGGCGACGGCCGGCGGGTGAGTCCTGGGGATCCGATGCGGCGGGGGTGAGCGTTACCGGACAGAGCATCGGCCGGATGGTGTTGCAGAACGAGGCCCACCAGGATTCGGTATCGCGGTGGGTCACTGGAACAATCGCATCGGGAAAGGCAGCCAGCAGCTCCTCGACGAACAGGTAGTGCGGCATGTCTGTGACACCCTGGAAAGGTTTTATATGAGGTCTTAGTTCGTTGAGACGAGCGGATGGCATACTTGGTACGGCTTCAGAAAAGCGCGCCATTCTTCGGTGCTGAGCGGCTGGCCGATCCCCCAGTATTTGGCCACAATCGCGCGAATCCAGAGGTCGACCACTGGTTCGGGCTCGAAGATGTCGAATCCGTGGTAGGTGGGCTTGTATCCGAGCTCCTCCAAAGCGAGTCTCATTGCTGAAATGTTGTGAGTTCGATGGGTCAGTGCTTTAGTGCCACTGTCTCACAAGAAGTGCCTGTGCGCGAGTAGCCAAAGGCGAGGACCTTGGGACCGAGGCCCGGATGGGAGATCTGGGGAGCGGACATGTTGATATGAGTCCATTTGGCTGCACACTGTGTTTTAAAGCCTTCCAGAGAGCCAAGAAGACAAGTCAGTACCTTCTTTGACAACTCTCCACGAAATCTGACGGATCTTCAAGTGGCGACAGTCTCTGATTATCTCAATGATCCAAATGCACAACACATGTCGAAAGACGGGATCCCGCTGCCGAGTTCGAACCAGTTCTTTCCTTGGCCAGACAATCGGCGTGGCTGATCATTGAGTCGTGTCAGATGATCTCTCTGCAGTTTTGGATCGGGCGAATTGTCCTCGAAGGCACCAGTCTGCGACTGACTCTTTGGGAAAATTCGAGTGATCTTCAGCATACCTAGCCGCCCTTGTATGCCAGGGTCGCATTGTACCGTCACGACCTTCTAAACGGAGTCGTGTTCGATTGTCATCGTCCATCGTTCTCGAAATAGATTCGAGCTATTGACCTGAAGCATTCCCGGATCTCACAGAATATTTATCTCATTCTTGAGAATGTCTGGTAATGCAGCTTAGATTGTGTCGCTGACTCGTGGAAAAGAGTCGATCGCTTTGACCGCGTGACCGCGTCGCCAGCGAATGATATGACAGGTGGCAGTGCAACATTAATCGTTGCACAGTGGGCTCAGCCACATCCAAAAGGCCTAGATTGAGCGATACAAAACACCTGAGAAAGTTTGGTCTATAGGGCAGAGCAATGCACCGTGGATCTAATGTACTCTCATAGAGTATATGGAAATGCAATGTACTCTAATAGAGTAGAACCTCTCATGTGATTTTTCAGTCAGTGTTGGGAGCTATGTACTTTCATTCTTTGATTAATCATCAGCCATTTCTGCGATAGCCTAAGTTTTGGGTAGATTAATCTCAGTGTTCCTTCAGCCGGCCTGTATTATAATGATCTTTATGATTAGGTGCCGAACACTTATCTCTCGAAACACCAGTACTTCCAACCAAAATCACGTGTCTCAAAATCACGTGCCGGCGGTTCGTTGGGCAGCGGCGCCCGGTCAATGGATACATGCAAATTAATTCTGAGTAAACTATGTAACAAGAGAGGGAAGTAACGAGCGTGGGGATAGGCAGTTTTGACTCTATTTTATCCGGCGAGGGAGGTGATATCAGCCGAGAGAGCGTTGTACTTCGGGCACAGTTGCTCCCACTCGGTGTTGGGGCTGATCTCGGCCTTCCAGTCGTCAACGGCCTCCGCAAAGACAATAGCAAAGCCGGCTTCGAGATGCCAGTCGATGTGGCAATGGAGGAACCATGCTGTTGTGCAGAGTGGTAGTAGTTACGCGAGATCAGAGATGCGGTAGAATAGAAAGAGAATAACGACGCACGTCCACGGTTGTCCGTGAAGAAACGGATGGTAACATTGTCGCCTGTGCCACCGATGTTGACGACGTCGCGGCGCGCGGGGTTGACGTAGTTGTAAGCGCTGCTACCGGCCGAGCGGATGACGTCAAATGTGTGGCCGTGCAAGTGGAACGGATGCTGAGGGCAGGGTGAACCATCAGTTGAGGACGAAGAAGAAAGAGAGGCCGTACCCCTCCACCGATCACTCCGCCAGCGAGAGTAAGTTCGACCGACGCGAAGTGTGGAAGCGTGTAGACTGTTTTCGCGGGCAGCAGCGCCTGGGCAGGTTGGGCTCCGGACAGAATCTGTAGCAGTACGGGGACAGTCGGGGAGGTGAACGAGGCGCCGTTAACCGTAAACTTGAACGTCGTCTACCATGCAAAGGTCATTATCGTCCACCGGCTCATAGTGATCGACGCACCAGATCGAAAGCCAGGGCCAGGTTGACCTGGACGTCAGCACCACCGCTGAACGGTTTTCCGACAGTGCCCGGGTTGACCAGCGGGTGCAGGTCCACCTCGTTCACGAGAGCCTTAACGGACGTGTCCTGTGCGGTGGTTGGCTCAGAGGAAGGCGCACCAACGTCTATCGGAAAAAAATAAGTTACCGTCCTGAGCACGTCGAAACACGAGCCAAAAAAACTCACAGCGCAGAATGGCAGAGTTGATGCCTCCGGCAAAACCCGTCGGGCCGGTACTGGGGTTCGCACGAATCCAGTAGTTGTTGACGGCTTGGTCAGCGGTCAGGATGAACGAGTAGCGCTGGCCTGTTGGCCGGTACGTTCAGCACTCATTCCCATGAATATTTCCAGCCAGAACCCACCAGCATAGATGCGGATGGAATCAACGATGAGCGGCTCGTGCAGCACGCCATCCGCCTCGATGATCGTCATGTTCGAGTGTCCGTCAATCTGGAAGACGTAGTCCGAGTCGCACGCGGTGTTGATCAGACGGAAGCGGTAACGCAGGCCCTTCGTCACATTGATAACCGAGAGCGTGGTGTTGCTCGCCGTATCAGCCGTGCGTCCAAGACCATTGATCAGCACCGAAGCTGGTGTGCTGAGAGTGTCGTCAGCAGCTGGATATCCGGGTTCCAACAACAAAAAGACGCACGCGACGCCAGCCACCGTCTCGGCGAAAACGTGGTACCAGTCCGCGAGAGTGATCACGGTAGACTCGTCGTCCACATCGTATTGATTCAAGTAGGCGTCCGCGGGGTCGTAGATGACCATCGCACCGCGAAGGCCATCGCAGTACTGAGTTGCCAAGTGAGAGTGGTACCAGAACGTCCTAGATCCATGTCAGCACCGCATCCCCCTCCCGCCCGGAAAAACGGAAAAATCGCGCACCCAGCCTGCTGGGACGTGAAGTCATATGTGAAAGAATTGCCGGGAGAAATAGGGCACTGGTTCACGAATGCTGGGCCATCCATGTAGTTGGTCCCATTTTGGAACAGGCCGTGCCAGTGCTACATGGAGTTTCAGTCAGCTCCCTCAGCAAATCGATGGATCTTGCACGCACAACCGACGTAGGCTCCAGCATCCGATTATCTTGCTGGTTGTCCACTACCGTGAGCTTGAAGTTGTCCCCAATTTTTCCGGTGACGAGAGGGCCCGGGAACGTCCCGCCAACCAGAACGGCAGCTCGCGGGAAGCCATCGGGAGCGATCGTGCCATTCGCCACGACGAGTGAGGCGACTGGCCCGACGGACACAGAGGAGACCATTTTAGCCAGAGCGGCCACAGAAAGGAAAGTCGCGGCGGAATACATTTTTGACAGAATATGTGAGCAGTGAAATAAGGAGAGGAAACTGAGGGCTAAGCACTTGGACCTGCGACGCTTTTATTGCGCGCTCGCGACTTAAACTAAGCGCGTTGATCAGTTGTGGAATCAAGCCATCCTTGCCAACCATCGTCTCCCAAGCCGGTAAGTGCATGGCAGAGGAAAGAACAAGCCACATGCTGAAATCGGTAATCCAGTGACAGCTCCTGACTGATTCTGGATGGATCTTCTTCACCTGTTCGGCCGTACAAGATATGGTCGGGGGTGACAAACCGTCGCCGATCCGGCAACTAAGCCTACATCGATCTCTAAAAAGCAACAAAATGACTTGAAAATGAAACGTCTGGTGGCTCTGGAGAAGTTGCATCCCAGTGCTCGAGTGGGAATACATGAGCCCAGCCTTCAACAGAGTATATCTAGTCCTCAATGAGGATAGAACTGATCTCGGACTCTGCCAAACATATGCTGATATGCGGGTGGGGATAGCGGGAACGGGGGTCGGCGCGGAGGCAGAGCAGAAGAGCCTCCGAGATATGAGTAATCAGCCACTCTCGGCCTCCGTAATTCCAGAGAGGATAATTCTCCACATAGAATTTCACAATTCAAAAGCAGCGAATTTACAAGGTAGCCGGTCAACTGTTATAGCCACAGACCCAAGTTTTACGACTCCTTGGTGGGGTTTAGGTGCGAAGACCGTTGATGGACTTATCTTGAAACTGGTATCACACCCAAAAATGCATGCTGGCATCGGCGATTGTAACATCCTAATGTGCTTCGCTGTCGGAATACGAATTGGAGAAGAAAACATCCGCGCAGAAGGCTAAGGTGATTGGCGACCGGGTCCGAATTGGGTCACGCGCCGAGCGAAGCGACTTTCTCGGTGTTTGAGATGGTAACTACATGGGCTGAGATGTGTCGGTCAGATGTTCAACACTGTACAGCGGCTCTATCGAGCGCTTATGAACAGAGGAGATTATTGTGCAAGGTGTGTCATGTATCTTAGGTCATTACAGGTCAGTTAGTAATTGTGGGCACGAGCCGCATTATACATCATCAAACACTCGTCAGTTCCGTTCCATCCTTCGCGAACCAAGGCATCGCCAGTGCCTCAAGCATAGAAAGCCGGCGGTTCGGATCGAACATAAGGAGACCGACCAGGAGCCGGCAGCCTCCACACACTGATCAGCCACGGGAACGAACCAAAAAAGGGCGCACGCACAGTGATCACTAGGCTGGATGGTATACCCCTCCTTGTCCTTTCCCAGACAGCCTTGCGTGAGGAACCCGATATTAGGCATCGCGCGCAAAGGCTCCCGGGTGTCGGGAACTGTGATAATCTGGTTCTCCAGTCCAGCGAGGCTAGGATATGTGTGTTCAGTAACTCCAGAGCCAGCGGGTGCCTTTGCATTTGTAAAAGGCCGTACCAGCAGAATAGCGTGACACCAGAAGAGAAGGAGTCGACGAGGTGATTGTATGGTTTCGTGTTCTTCTCGGTGACCTCGGGAGCCACGAAGTTTACCGTGCCCACATACGACTGCATTAGCGGACGGTCAGCTCCTGACGGCATCTAGAGGCCACGCCGCCGCATGAGCGTACCGTTGCTCCACTAGTAGGGTTGTCAGTCTTGACAATCGCTGCCACCCCAAAATCGGTGATCTTGACGACCGGAGGGGTATCCGACGTCAGCAAAATATTCTGTGCAGGTTCGATTCAAAGATAAGACCAGGACACTCATGGCACACATACGTCGGGCTTGATGTCGCGGTGTATGACGTGCTGACTGTGCATGTAGGCCAGCCCGGTGAAGAGCTGCCGCATGAGGTGCTTCGTCATACGCTCGCCTGCACAAGGAGAATATGGAAGATGAGACCATGGGACGGAAGATTACGAAACGGTCACTCCCTCAGTCCTTTGTATCGGGAGATAAACTGCCGGAGGGTACCACCATCAACAAACTCCAGCACGAGTTCTAGACGGAGCGGTGTGTGAGCAGAAAAGGCGATACTTATTGCAGGTTGAGCAAACGCACCGACTCCGTCACCGCGCAATCGGTAGATGTCTCTAATTCCAACGATGTTCTCGTGCGAAAGCCTTTTCAGGACTTGGATCTCCTTCGAGATGATGGCAGCAACGGTAGCCGAGGTCGATGCCAGTGTGCCCTGTCCCAGATGAAAGATAAGCCACAAAAAGCGCACTGTCGCTTGATTGCTCACCGGATCGATGCGTTTGATGGCGACTATGGCGCCGGTCCGTCTGTGACTTCCTTTGAACACCCGTCCGTGTCCGCCGTGGGCTGCGAAATGCGGATTCAACGCCACGCGCGCAACTATGCTCCGCTCTGGGACGACGCACCGATCGACTCGTGGATGTTGTACTCATCAGTCGTGCGCGGGCGCATGTCGTGGAACCGGAAGTCTAGTACGTAGGTGGCACACGGAACATGAGGAGAGAGTCCACGAGCGGCGGGGTGGGACTCACGGAAGAAATTGCCCGCTACGGTACGCCCCGGCGCCGCGCCCAAGCGGATCTCGTCGCCATCGACTAGCTCGTACGCTTGATTGTGCGGGACCAGGCTGGCTTCGCTCGGCGATTCGCCGATTTTTCGTATAACCTGTGCGCCGCAGATTGATGGGGGATGGCGGCGGACGGAGGCGATGCGCGCTCACCCAAGTCCCGTTCGTGGATACGTGATCCCGGATCATGATGCGCTCCATGAGCCCGTTGCCCTCCCTGCTCAGCGTGATCGACGCGTGCAATTTCGCTGTTGGCCGTCAGAGTCCGGCGGATTTCTACGGGAGACGGGTCTGGAGCTTACTGACTGCGCACAGTCGTCGTCAGCCCCGTATGCGAGATAGCCCGAAGAGCCGTTACTCACTATACGCCTTCGCCGGTGCGACGAACGTCATCAGCTCGCGGTCCTGCCCCTGCCCCTGCCCCTGCCCCTCCCTTCCAAATGAAAGCACAGGTTGGTCCCGGCCAAACTTGAAGTTTCCCGGTGGGAACACGTTGTTTCCCGAGGTCTCGATCCGCACCAGGCGGCACCACAGGTGGTCGTTGCCGGCGAGGACATCCTCGACGACGGAAACACGGTCCGCGTCACTGTATTCCGGCATCTCGGTCTCCATCTCCTCCTCCTCCTCCGCTGCTGTCGCTGGGCAGTTGTCTGCTACTAGTAGCTTTGCGCTCCGGGTCTGCGCCATGAAGGTGATGGAGGTATTTGCTGGGGGCAGGTTGCTTGAAGCTTGAAGACAGTCTGGCAAGCGTGAAAGAAGGTCTCGCTTATGGGGGTCATGATTGGCAAAGGGCAGCGCTTTATTTTTTTTTAGCTGTTTGAAGCGAGGGGACAATGGGGACTGATGGTCATTGTTCACGTTTGGGAGTGGCTGTGGTGTACGAGCACGTGAGTATGGAGGCTGAAAACGTTATGCTGATAACCGATGTCTCAATCATGGATGGCCGCTCGGCAGATATTGATCAGATGATTGACGAAATGATCAAGACCCAAGGTAGCCGACTATCGCAATATCGCAATATCGCAACATCTTAATATTCGAAAAGCGCAACATTCGAGATGGGGTCAGCGGCCAAGTCGCCGGCACGAGCAGGCTCGTCGCGAGTCCGCACTCCCAGGCGACCTTCCAAGGCAGCGGCTCGTACGTCGTATTTGACTGGGGCAAGGAGGTGCGCGGCCTCCCTGATACAGCGCCGTCGAGGGTCAATTGACACACCCATACTATAGTTCTGGGGGATCCTGTCGCTGACGATCAACAACGCGACGGCGCAGTCGCAGTTCTCGCTGTCGCTCACCGAGTGCGCGGAGTTCATCAGCCCGCTCAAGTCGGACGACTCGTGCCAGCCTGCGCCGGCAGCTGCAGAACTGGGACGTGATCCAGACGTTCCACGCGCCGCTCGCCACGGGGCTGCTGGCGCAGACCGTGGGACAGCAGTGCGGCGGGTTACGCTTCCTGACAATTGTGAGTGCGAGCGCGGACCCGCTGGCAATTACGTTTATGCCCCACTGGGACGATCTCAAGGCGTACCCGGGCTACTTCTACGCACCTAACCCCGGGTTTCACGACATCGACTTCCTGGCGAAGATCTTGTACGCCGGTGCGTCATCGCCCGCTCGCTGTCTGATGGCGCAGAGCGTGGCATGGGTAGGGGCTGACCGCTAGCAGGCACGTATACGGTGCAGAACAACACAATCCCTCCCCGCATGGTGCGACAGGGGCCGTGGCCCGCAGGAGGTATGTTTTAGCACGGATTTGAATATTGGGCCGATTCAAACTATGGGATGACATTTGTAGGTGGCTGGTCCAACAATGCCTTGGGAGGTTCCGTGATTGGGCCTATCCTCGTCGATGGAGCAAAACGCGACAGGTGAAGAGTGGCCGGCCACGATCTGTCTGCAATCCCCGCTGATGACACTTGTACTGTAAGGAACATCTGGCCAGGTAATCCCTCATGCTCAGGGCCGCGATCTAAGCCTCGGAATCACGCGACGGATCAGGCGACTGCGGTATCTCCACGCACACGGAGCTCGTCGCGCTGAGCGACACGGAGCCGACCAAGAACTCGCTGACGGTGATGTTCCGCACGCAGAAGCCAACCACCGGCGCGCTGCAGTACTCTGGGCCGCTGCTGAACAATCAGGGCAGCGATAAGTACATCTCGTCGTCGCTCATCGGGACGCACAACTACTTCTTGTATATGGGCGACCTCGATTTCGTCAAGTCTGTCTGGCCAAACTACACCAAGGCGGTCGGCTTCCTTGAAGGTCAGGTGGACTCGACGGGCCTGATGACCGTCCCGTCTTCATTCTCGAATGACTGGGGCAGGGCAGGAGGCGCCGGAAACAGTGAGCATCTGTCGCGCGCTCTCTCATTGTGTATCTGCACTCATGAGGGTCGCAGACGCTCGTCACCGCGACGGACCTGGCGACGCATCTCGGCAACGTCTCCCTCGCCGCCACATACCTCGCCAACGCAACCAAAATGCAAACCGCGCTCAACAGCCTGCTGTGGGACGCCGCTGAGGGCCTGTTCCGCGAGAACGACGTCCCGACAAGCATCTACCCGCAGGCCGGCAACGCGTTTGCGGTCCTGTACAACCTCACGACATCGGATGCACAGAACAAGGCCGTGAGTGCTGAACGTTACATGAAGATTAAATCACCAGCAGTCGATCGCAACTCATGCTGGGAGGTTTATTTACAGCTTTTGGCCAAGTTCAAGGCCCTCGACGAGCTTCACAATATTGATCAGACAATAGACGACAGGTGGGCTTACGCCCTTAGCCATGCAGCGGCAGAGTACAAGGACGAGATCGCACCCTTACCTAACCTGAAGGAGCTTCATGGTGGTGATGGTGTCATTGGACGGAACGTTGATATGGGCGGGGTGAAAAACGGCTACGGATTGGGTGAGACTGAACTTTCTCATCTGTGGGCTTTCTTCTCACGCATCCAGGGCCGGAGCATCATGCCCGATTGAATGCAATTCTCGACGAAATTGAGCCGAACTTTGGTCCCGATGAGTCATAAACTGTTGGTCCCGATCTGTACGCATGGTTCTCGGATGAGAAGACCCGCGAAAATGATCAGTGAATTACAGTGATTACATGCTCACTACGCTATCTCGAATATTATGCTATCTCGAATGTTGGGCTTTTCGAATATTACGATATTGCGATGTTGCGGTGTTGCGATATTGCGATAGTCGGCTACCTTGGGTCTTGATCATTGCGTCAATCATCTGATCAATATCTGCCGAGCGGCCATCCATGATTAAGACATCGGTTATCAGCATAACGTTTTCAGCCTCCATACGTGAGGACAGGCGAGGGAAACTTTCATAATCATCGCTCTCCTCGACGATGAGCACAGCGCGGGATGGAAATGGTTCTGCCAAGTGCGCCTTTTCCCAGCGTCGATCAATCTTTCTCCGTCGTGGTATGAGCTGCAAACCGTGCTCGTGCGTCCAGCCCCATTTTGGCTCTCATGAGATATCTGGAAGTGCTGCTCATTGGACACCAGTTGTCGATGATGTTCTTGTCCTGCAGCTCGAGATCGGAGGAATGATGGATAGTCGTCGGAATCGGGCTCCGCATGGCGACTGAAGTCGGCGCGAACCAGCGCGTTCGCGCTCGACACGACTCACCTGTGGAGGCTGAGTGGTATAAGCGGACATACTGGTGCATGCTCTGCTCGGATATGATACTCAGCGTGCTTCTGGGGAGAAGTAAATTGTCTAACTCGGCCGAGTGAGTTCATAGACATGCGAGACATGTGGGACTGTTTTAATCCATGCAGCTTCGAGATTGACCTTAAACCGCTGGAGCGCGAGGACCCGATCCTGGTCAAATATGCATTTTCGCTCGTGAATCTAATGCAAATACTGCAGCGAATTCAGGATGAAATTCCCAGTCTCATCGCATCGGTGCCTTATGAGCAGATCTCTGATACTCTATAGTTTCCTTTCAGCCGCAAAGATCGCAATCTCGAACAAACTGTCATTGGATTGGAGTAAGCTTAGTTTCTCCCCAAGTACGAACATGCACAGTTTGATTTATCCAGCTCAGCGCTCAACCAATGGGTTGATACTATTCCAGAAGAGTGCAAGTCCGTTAGTTCTCCATTGTTCCAGCATGTTTACATATTTCAGTCGAATGGGATCCAGACCAGCCAGATCGTATCCGACTTAACCAATCTGCGTGTCTTTATGCGACGTATTATGTGAGACTGCTTTTAAGTAGGACGCTGCTGCTCTCGCTCATGCCATCTCCTTTCAGCATGGTAAATTGTCGGTCCGAGCCTATAGACATCACCTCATTTTCCCAGTCCAGATCTTGCTGCATCGGCACTTCATTTCTACTCCAGGGAAGGAAGCGAATTTTCCTGCCACTAGCCTTCCTTCTCTCGCCATCTGTGCTAGTGCCGCTCGCTCGTGCTGTCATGTGATGGCTGTACAAATCAAGCGCTCCATTGGGCCGCTGCACAACCCGCAACTCCTGGTCTGTGACGCACCAGTTCAACAAGTTCCCGCCCACTGAATCGCTTCGTTAGAATGCGGTCTTTGACGCAGCCACCGTTCTCATATTCAGCGTGCACAAAAATGCGCGCAGTGCGGACTCGGATCCGAGCATTCGAGAGTCCCAGGCCGTGCTGGGCGCGTACGAGTCGAGGTGACTACGCTCCTCTGTCCGACGTATCGCATGGCAAGCTCACGAGGATTCTCATTCAAGGTGGCATGTTGCTGGTCGAAATGCCGACATCCTGGTGGGCATCCTGGCCGTGCGCGCGACGGAGTTGTCGGGCCCACCAGCGGTCTTCGAGCAGCGCGACCGCGATCGTCACTTCCTGGGGTCGCTTCCGATGTCCAGCCGCGAGATGGGCAGACTTCCAGTCTTCGAGCCCTTTGATCAGGAGTTCTTCCTGCTGTTGGAGCAGAATTTGAGCCAGAATCAGTCGAATTCAGATCTGGATGGGTTGGATAGTAGCTCACAATGGACTGGGAGTTGACGCTGCCCGTCACAACGTGGACATCTGGAGTGGGTACGGAGGAGATTCATTCTATAAAGGCCTCTGCCAGTGTGCGAAACGTATCCCTTTCTTGGTCTTCTTTAGACCCAACTTCAATGTGATTGGGTTTGTATCTTCTTTGCCTGGACGAGAATCAAGGCCGTCAAACAAGCTCCGAGCGGACATACGCTTGTATACGCTCTTGTACGTAACGAATCGGTGATGTCCGGGATCAAACCTGCGACGAGGCTCTATACCGGGCCAGGCCATACATAATGATAATCTGTCGCCAAATGAGGAACAAGGTGGGGCCAACTCGTTGCTGGCTGAGATGCAGTCTCTTGGAAAGTCATCGAAGGGGCCAAAGCGCGGAGCTTTTGTCCACAACGTAAGCGACGTTACATGCATATCAAATGGCAAGCGCGTCTGCCAGCTCTCTTGACCGTTATCACTTCGATTCAACAATTCCAGAAGGAAAGGGCGGAGAGTGGGAATCGTGCGTCATGGCTGCGCTCGCGCGCTTCTTTAAATAGTTTTCGATGGCCGACGTATCGATGGCCGACCTATTGGTACTGCATTGCGGGAGAGGACTAATCTGGACTGCGCGGTTTGAGATCTCTTCAAGTAGCTGGGGCACATTTTTCATGAAAGGCAGAGCGGCAGCGGTAAGACAAAGAACAATGCGTCAACAATTTCAAAAGGGAGAAGGACTTTTAGGGCACGTGCTCCTCGTTCCCCATCAGGAATAGCCTCTTCTCCATAAACCTTCGCTGACCCTGCGCCTCTCCCATTCCCACTCACCGTCCCCTACCCCCTCTCCCTTTCCCCTCTCATCGAATCGAAGGCGATGGACAACCCCCACGCGTTCGAAGCCGCGCGCGCACAGGACCAATACGACGAAAACGGCGAGCCGCCGCAGACCCAGCCGGAAAGCCAGGAATACCACCACCACATCCCGCTGCCCACCGCAGACGCCGTCCACTGGGGCGAAATCGAGCCCGTCACCAGCCACGAGGCTCTCCCACGCGTCTCGTTCCCCAAAGCGCAGAAGGTCATCACGATTGGCCGGGGCGGACACAACAGCGTTCCGCTCCTGAGCCTCAAGATCAGTGAGTGGCAGTGGACGCTGCACGCCGCGTCGCGTGGCTGACGCGTGCACCGCAGGCTGGAATCACGCGAACATCCTCTGGAATGGCGCCGATGGAGAGGGGGCCGAGTTCACCGTATACGACTTGTCGACGAACGGGACCTACGTGCGTGTGTCATGCCCGTGTCACTTTGTCTTCGCTGACCGAGTCTGGGGCCGCAGATTGGCACGGAGAAGATCGGAAAAGGCCAAAGCCGCAGCTTGCGCAACGGGGAGCAGATCTCGTTCTCGACCGCGCCGACGGGAGGCGGAGAGCGGGACCCGCGTACGGATTTCCGTACGCCACCCTGCCATCCTATACGCGTCCAGAATCTGACTGCTGCCGCAGGATTCATGTTTCGCGAATACGTCTCCGGCGTCGACTCGATGCGTCCGGTGCTCAACACGTACAAGCAACTGAAGGTGCTTGGGTCTGGCGCGTTCGCCATCGTGTACAAGGCGGAACGAAAAGGCAGCCCCTTTCAGTGCGCGATCAAACACATCCGCAAGGCCCAAGGGTACTCTGCGGTACGCGTGTGCCGCACTCGGGCTCATCACTGTCTGTTGCTGATGGGCACCCCTAGGTCGACGCGCACGACTCGCGCAAGACGCTGCATGACCGGGAGATCAACATCATGAGGAATTTGAAGCACCCGAATATCTGCAGCCTCATTGAGTGCTTCTGGAATGCAGACTCCTCTGTCGATCTCGTCATGGAGCTCATCGAGGGCGGAGATCTGCTGGAGGCGGTCATCAACAACGGAGGACTTCGTGCGGAGCGTTTCTCATCTCGTGTCTTTGTTCTTGACTATGTTTGATAGCGGAATGGCTGGTGCAGCGAATCGCATACCAAGTTACGGACGCGCTCCAGTATATGCACAGTTTGGGAGTCACTCATCGTGACTTGAAGCCAGAGGTGAGCATTCCGAAGGCTCTTGTGTGTGTGCCTATTCAATGATTGACATCAGAACATCCTTTTGACTCGGGATCTCGTGGCCAAAGTTGCCGACTTCGGTTTGGCCAAGATAGTGGACGAAGCCACCATGCTCAGGGTGCGTCATTTACTCTGTGGCCGCGTCTCCCTTTTACTGACCCGCATGTAGACGATGTGTGGGACGCCGGCCTATCTCGCACCAGAAGTCGTCATGCAAATCAAAGGCAGCGGGTATGATAACAAGGTCGACAGCTGGAGTTTGGGCGTGATCATCTTTTCTTCGTGCGTTACCTTGTCTTCGATGGCTTGCGCTGAACACCTTCGTCCAGAGTAACCAACGCTGTCCCCTTCATCGAGGACGAATCTTTGGACCTCAAACGTCGCATTATGGAGAGAACGCTCGACTGGGGCCTCCTCGATCAACCGTTCTACGATGATCAGCCGCTTTCCGAAGACGGTAGGCGGCCGTTTTCTAAAATCTTACGGTCTCTGACCTTGCTTCAGCCAAGTCTTTCGTCCGAGCGCTCCTGGTGGTGAATCCGGCGCAGCGGATGGGCGCAGCGGATGGGTTGCGCCATCCCTGGCTACAGAGCTACGAAGCTCTCTCCCTGCCACCCACCATTGGCAAGCCGACTTCGAGTCCCGAGATCGGATCCCGTATCCCTGCAGATGCGCAATCGTACATCTCGTTGGTGGAGTCCAAGTCGAGCTTCCTGGACGTCAAGCACGGCTTTGGGCACATGCAGCTCAACGCTAGCAGCAGCAGCGTTGCTCCGGTCGACCGACCGGATAGCGACGACCGGGAGGACACCCCCGCCCCGGTATCCGCCGTCGAGGACTCGAGACTCAAGAGCGGGCTGATCCGGGGCAGCCAGGCCGTGCGGGAAGCGGCAGCGGCTGGTGTGTTCTTCGAGCCGCCGTCGGCCATGGTCAGCTACTTCCAGTCGCTGTCTCTCGGCGCCAAGGAGGCCAGCACTCCCGCCGCCAACGGCAAGGGCAAAGGCAAGGGCAAACGGATGCACGACGAGGCGGCGGCGCCGATGATCGAAGACGTGCTGGACAGCTCGCTGAGCAGCCTAGACTCGTCGCCGCCCGAGCCGCTGCGGAAGAAGACGAGGAACAACGCTGGGAAGGTCGCGGATGATGCGTCGCCGACCATGGCTCCTGCTCGGCCCAAGCGGGCATCGGCTGCGGCTGGCAAGCCAGCTTCTAATCGAAAAGGCCGCAAGGCCAAGGACGAGCCGGTTCCGGCCCCGGTCCCGACGCGAAGATCTACGCGCAAGCGGTCATAATCTGTCTGTTTTTTCTATACTTTTCTCTCTCTCTTGTACTGTGCACATTGCTTCCTCCACTGCATTACCACTCATCGCTATCACACGCATGCTATACACCACCTAGCCTATCACTTGTTACTGTGTACTTGCCTGGGATTTGTCTGTAACACATTATCATTTGGTGGCACTTGCCAAGGCCCAACGAGGATGACGAGAGGACCCTGAGGAGCACTGCTGACCAATGCAGGCGAGGTAGGTTGGCGGATTCACAGCTGATGCACGCCTCGAGGACACACTCTCACTCCAATCACCGGGGACTTCAAAAGGCGAGTACACATTAGCTTGACAAGAGTAGTGATTTGTTTGCGCGCGACCCAGGCCTTGATATTCGACGGAATATACTTAGTCCGTCGATGTTGGAGCCCCATATACCCTGGAATTGAGGGCACGTTATACCGCGAAAAGCTCCCAGCTGAGAAATCTACGGTGCTTTGACAGAGACGAGATGATTACAGGTATTGAGTTTCAAAAACGTTTGCGCATGTTCGAAATGGACTCATGCTGACTCCAGACCTTGTCCGCCGGAAGATTCAACAAACAGGAGGCCAGCGCAGATGGAGTTCTGCATAAAAGCGCTCTACCCGACTGGAGTCGAGGCTCACCGCACACCGTGGGAGCGACGGGATGCACAGGCCGAGAAAGCCAAGGCGAGACATCGGGGTGACTGGTCACAAGTTTCTTCAACGGGGCAAAGAACAGCCAGGGGGAATTCATATTTACGACACGCTTCGAGTGAGTCATGACTCATGAGAAGTATGTACACTGCAGCGGCCTAATTCGCTGGCAACGAGCGCTTTTGCACGTCCGGCTAGTCCCTTCCCACCAACTTTTTCGTATGAGGAATCGTCTGCTGAACGGGCATTCGGTCACAGTGCCCGGCTGTTTCCAAGAAGGGGGTAGACGAAATACCGTTGCCCTGCGAACAGATTGAATCAACATCGGTCCCCGGGAGCACGAAATGGATAATGCGCACGATCATGGTCGCTGGAAAGCCAGGGTCGAAGGGAAGCACACTCTCCAGGAACTCGATTTGTTCCGGGGAGAGTGAGATCTCCAGAGCCTCGATGTTTGACAGAAGGTGCTCGACTTTCCTCCCCCCGATGATGGGGAAGCAGCACGGTAGTGCTGTGCTTGATATCAAAATGTTTAAAACAGCGGAATAAATAGCATGTTTTAAACATGCTTTAAAGCATTATAGCAGCCAGGCCTCAAATTTGCTCTGCTATTAACTGCTATTAATTTTCATCGGACTTCTACTCTGACTGTAGCTCATCATAACCTGTTACTTGATTGTGAGACGTTATAGGATAATCCAGTCGCTGACTGGTATTACTGACACGTGACCGGATCACGAAGGCGAATTCTTCTCGTACTGCCAGGTCATCACCTCATGCCGCTGTCAAAAGAAGATTTGGGCGGTCTTATCACCGCGCGCACGGCCTTCATACAAGATGATGCCTATTCGATTCCCGATTTCACGAGCGTCATCGAGCTGCACACCGAAGATGGTTCGCAGGAGCGTGCCGATTGGCTAAGTCATATCGACGCGCTTTCAATTGCCATCGAGGAAAGGATGGAACCACCGCCGGTAAGTTCAAATCTATTACTTCACACGTGAACATGTCATAATCGAGCTGTAGCCGCCGGGTTTGGCCAGGGACTCTCCCCCAAAGAAAGCCCCAGTCAAAGGAAAGAAACTGAAGCTGGCCAGTGCCGAGGAACCGAGGAACATTTCGGACGTGCTAGGAGGATCAGAAGCGTTCCAACGGCGGCTTGCCGAGAGAAAGCAGCGGATGCTTGATCTAGAAGCAAACGGCGCTGAGGATTCGAGCCGGACGAAGAAGAAAACAGCTGGTCGACCACGAGACACGCTTGTGGATGACCTGATCGTCACAGAGAGTTATAAAGTAGACGGGAAGCAGAAAGTCTACACATACTGCATTGCGTGCGACCACTGTGAGGTGTTCCGTAATCCCGGTCGGATACGAAAGCACGCTGCAATTGATTGCAAGGTTGGCTCTCTTTTCCGATCGAACGCATGCTGATTATGAGAAATACAGGAGATCGCAAAGCTGTTTCCAAAGCTGCACAAGGAAGTTTGTGAAGTCCTTGCTGCTAACAGCAAAGGGACACTTCCCCGAGTGCGCACAATTGTGAAGACAGCAGCTGTCTCTCCGATCGCGCCACCCGGCGCTATGGCAACGATGCCCATGGATGACATGGATGCAGATCGAGGTGCATCCGCGACAGATGTGGAAATGCTAGAGCCAACGGGTCTTTCATCGGCGGGATCGACACATCATGGAACGATCCGTGAATACTTCGAGCCAATCAAGATGACCGATGTTCGTCAGGCTGCGCTCGACCTCGCACTTTTTCAGCTGGTCATCTGCGCTGCCCTTCCTTTCTCATTCGTCAAGAATCCCTGGCTGGTCAACCTTCTTCTTATCGCAGTGCCCAACTACATCACCCCGGAGCGGACAGCATTCTTCACACGCCAGATTGCTGATCAGGTTGCTGCGTTCAAGATGCATCTTCAGGCCTTCCTCCAAAACCGATTCTACCTCACTCTCTCACTTGATGGCTGGAGTAGCCGCGGGAACGACGAAATCTACACGTTCCATACCACGCTACCAAGTCGCCGTTCCATCTTCACATTGGGACACGTGTTCAAGGCTGTTTCGGTGACTGCGGATGCCCTTGTCAGCGTTGATAGGCTGGCTACCAGACGCACTCTGCACCAACTCTGTAAGGGCGTATTTTTGCGCTTTTTACAGAGTTTACTCTTGAACCACTCGGTGTATCGTGTCGCGGTTGACAGTGTTGCACTCAGTAGGACTTAAGGGTCTACTGCCCAGTCGACGACTGTGGATAGTGTCGACGATAGCAAGGCAGTCAGATCACTACTGTGGAATTGGTCTTATGAGTCTACACCAGGCTCAGGGCCATTAGTGACAAACGCTTGGACCGCGACCATTCCCCCAAAAAGGGATCTGTCGTTGCGTCGACTTCTCGAAAAGGGTCATTCTCTGCAGATGGGAACTTGGGCTGAAGGGCTGAGCAATGCGCGACGTTCTCAATAATAGAACTACTACTGGACAGGACTTGGCGTTACGAGACTTAAACCATCTTGTCGCGGCAACTCCCGGTTTTGAGTTGGACGTTTCCTCAGATCATGCCACGACGACGACTTGTCACATGTCAGGATCCATTCGATCACGGGACATTGTGGACGCGTCGCGGTGACGCTTCCAAGTGTCACGGCGAGTCGCGCCCATACTCAAACACACTAAAATCGATACGGCTAGATCCGTGAACCGAGCCATGTGGGAGACGACTGGCGTGCCTAGAGCCATACGGCTTCTTGGGGCGCCCACGTTGGTCTCACATGCCAAGACATACCCGTTGGCCAATCCAGCACGTCGTATTCCAAAAGTATGACGCGGTGAGTTGGCCCACATCAAAAGTATCATATGGACAATGGGGCGGGGTCCTGATCACTCAGGACCTGTCCGATCGTTCAACTTTTCAATTACCCTAAAAGGCAACCGATCTTAGATAGCGTAGCTACTATGCAGTTGTACAGGACTTTACTAAGCAGCGTCGTAGACAGTATAAGTAGCACGTCGTCTCTTTGTATTAGGAAGCTTTCCCCCGGACTGTGAATCACTCTCATATCAGATTGTTTTGTACAATTTGCGTGCCGCGTGATTCCACCCTAAGAAGTTCTGCTACCCCTGCCCGGTCGCGACGAGTTGCTCCCTGAGCACTTGTAGCTACTGTGATTTGAGTTTGAGTTGAGATATCAGAAAGTCGGATTCGCCGCATCTGGTTTAGTCGCGGCATTTAGTGTCGTCGCCTTTGGGCTTTGTTGAGATCGTTCCACGCCTCTAGCTTGGCAGTGCGTCGACTAGTTGTGCTCGGGTTGTTTTGGTCAGTTGGCAGTGCGTCGACTTGAGAACTTTGGTTCCACACTTCTTGCTTGGCAGTGCGTCGACAAGTTGTGCTCGGGTTTTGGACATTGGATATTGGCTGTTAGTTGGCAGTGCGTTGACGCGGCATTTTGGTTCTACTAGTTGGCAGTGCGTCGACCCAGTACTTTTGGTTGTGTCAGTTGGCAGTGCGTCGACGCGGCATTTTGGTTCTACTAGTTGGCAGTGCGTCGACCCAGTACTTTTGGTTGTGTCAGTTGGCAGTGCGTCGACTCGACATTTTGGTTTACTAGTTGGCAGTGCGTCGACTCAGTATATTGGTTGTATCGGTTGGCAGTGCGTCGACTTGATATTTGGGCTTTGCGTCACCATCTGGACGCTGTCGCTACAAGGGATCTTAATACCTCGTATTAAGCTCTGACTTGTTATATTGTTGGTTGTGGATTGGATTAGTGTTGGTTGTGTTCGTATAGAAGATATTGGTTGAGATACCACTATTTGCTATATATATATTTGTCGTCGACTCCGTCTCCGCGACTATTGGATCTGCGTCTATTGAGAGTTGTGATACTGGTGCTCTGTCCACCCCGAAGCCCTCGCATCTTTCACACACTGAGAAGCTGATTACGAGGAGTGTGAACGTGTTTTATATTTGGGTTTACTTTCATAGTAGATTCACTTGTGAGCACGCCCTCAGCATTTCATCTGGAGCCCACTGCGAGGGGCTTCTAAAGTTTCATAAACTTTAAAAATCAATAAACCGGATTCCTTACCGCGACGTCGGATAGAGACCAAGGGTTTATCCCGCGAAGCAGTTTATTTCGATCCCAAGCTCCTGCGCGACCTCTCGAGGACCAAGCGGAGATTGAGACTGAAGGAAACGCTTCATCCTCAGGACCTTTCGAAAAACCACGAAGGTCTGCAAGACATAAAACACCTTTGTATCTACCACCCTTGCCTTCCAAGGCAAAAGGAAAACAAAGAGTGAATTTGACGTCGAAGCTTCCAGCTTTAGACACAGCTACTTCGAGTTCGACGACAATCAGTCGATCTCAGACTAGCTCACAAACCCTCTCAGAATTGTCTAGTAGCGTCACTGCTACAAACGCGAATTCTAACAACATCCCTACTTCCCCTGTGACTTCAGTCGCGACAACTATGGCTCCAAAGACTGGGTTCAAAATCCCCCAACCTTGGGACACAAGTAGACCTATACTTGATGAAAAGGATCCCCTGTCGATTGAGGCATATTTGCGTCACTGCGCGCAGATCGTAGAGGATGGAGGCATCACAGATGTCAAACAAGCGAAAAGCATGTACATTCGTTATTTGCCGTCGCGGCAAGTGATGGACGTATGGGAAGGTCTCGATACCTATTCTGACGACACGAAAACTGTCGTGGAGTTTGAGGCCGAAATATTAAAAGGATACCCTGAGGTGTCCAAGCGAAAAACGGGGACCATGGCAGATCTAGATAGACTCTGTCGCGAGAACCGTGGAATCAAAATAACAGATGAGGGAGATTTGAAGCGCTTCGGCCTTCAAATGTACAGTCACTACAAGCGACTGTCAGTCCCTCCTGCCATTATTACCAACAAAGTCGCGTGTGAACGCTACATGCGTACTTTGGACTCCGAGTTTAGTACCGTCTTGAGGAATGCTTTGGCTACGAGTCAAGTATTCAATAAGCGCTACCAAACTCGCGCTGGGATAGCAAATACTAATGTCCCCGCGACTGGAGTCAACCGGCAGGACGACCCCATCCAGCTGAAAGAATTAATGACGATGGCGGAAGAAATGGCGTCAACGTTGAGTAACGAAGACGAAATTCCCATAATCGCGCGGCCTCCTAAGGTTCGCTTCGACTATGAGACTAGTCCACCCAACCATGCTAAGGTTGAGGAGTTGGAAAACTCGATTTCCAACTTGAAGGACTCATTTCTTCTACACCAAAAAGAGCTCCAGACTCAGTTGCAGGAAGCGCTGAAGACGTTCGTACAGACTGCTCGCGAAGCGCCCATACAGCGGTCGCGGCCAGTAGGCAACAACTCTTCTGTGCCCCACTTTGAAAGTCGCGCACAAGGAGGAGCTGCCGCACGGAACGACGACTGTCGCTACTGTGGACAAACTGGTCACTGGTCAAACGAGTGCCCGCTCAAGAGGTCTCACATTGAGAAAAACCTTCTCAAAGTCGACACCAAAGGGATGTGGAGGCTCTTCGACGACAGTTTCCTACCAAATGGAGAAGGGACTCAGGGACAACGAGTAGAGGCTTATTGGAAGAAGAAGGGCAAATCCGTCAACTTCCAGGACTCCTACTACTTGGATCAGTTCGATAGCCGCGACAATGATGATATGTCCGACTACCCTGAAGAAGTGGCAGATGAAATACGCTCCCTTCGAAGTCAACTCATCCAATACGAGAGGAAGTCGTCGCGACCAACCCCAGAGAGTCGCGCTGAGCCAAAGACTCAAAGAACTGCATCTGGTTCAACCAGCAATGCAATGGAAAGTGCCATGGGCCAATTCATGCAGAAAGCCATGACCGACGCCATGGCCGGCTACTTCAACAACATGAACAGTGGTTATCCTCAGACTCAGGAGCAGTTCATTCAAACCCGTCGTGGTGCGAATAGCCAACCTGAGCGCGACGATAACAACTCGGGTTTCTAAATGGTTCAAGGAAGGGGGCTAAACCCACAAACTCAGCCAAGCCCTCTGAGGACCATGATAAACGAGCTGAGCGACGAGAGAAACCGAGAAAACCTGTGATTATTGAAGAAGTTAGCGATAGCGACGATGATGAGGAATCAGTGCGCGACAACGTCGAAAAGAGAAAGGAACTACCGTTTGAGAAAGTCAAGCCCGTTCTACAAGAACCAGTACATTCTTCAAAAGCGCGCGTTCCAGATAAATACCAGTTGCGTGCACCGATTCAAAAGAAGGCTGTGGCAGAAGCAGTCTACGACAAAATGAAAAACGCGTCAGTCGACGTCACTGTGGGTGAACTCCTAGCAGTTTCGGGGACTGTCCGCGACTCCATTCTAAAGGACTCTTCGAAGAAACGAGTACCGGTTCAGAAGTCCATGCTTCAAGAAACTGGCCGCGTCGTTGAAGACGTCTGGGATGGAGAACTGAGCTACAACCTAGTCAGTGCTAAGGAATTGCCCGAGCCTGTGTTCTATCATAACACAGTTGAAGGAGAAATTCCCATTGGCGCAGTTGTCGCGACGGACCCATATGAGATGTACTTGGAGTCGATACCCTCTAATGAGAACCCAAGACATGTCTATGTTGGTGATTCGTCGGCTGCTCTCAGAACGATAAACGGACGGATTAACGCGCGTCTTGACGCGGACTGCATCCTAGACAGTGGATCTCAGATTGTATCGATGGCTTTCTCAGAGGCCGTCGACGCACAATTGAGCTGGGACCCAAAAGTCGTCATCTATATGGAAAGTGCAAATGGATCTATCTCTAAGTCACTGGGATTAGCGAGAAATGTACCCTTCAGGTTTGGGACCATCCTGGTCTACCTGCAAGTGCACATTTTGGAAAGTCCAGCTTATAAGGTGTTGCTCGGCAGACCGTTCGATATCGCGACTGAAAGCAATATCAAGAACGCGGCTGACGGCAGCCAGATAATCACCATGTGCGATCCCAATTTAAAGACACGTTGTGCAATGGCTACGCAGCCACGTCGTGCAGACAACTTGCCGCGTAACACCAAAAACAACGACGGATCTACCGAGCCCTACAGTTCGTCGAAACCAATGACCAGTCCAGACGAACCGAACCCTGAACGGGATTTTCAAAGAGCTTCGAGGAATTGACCGCGTTGAGTCAAGGAGAAGAAGTCGCGGTGACTGTGTCGTTGGGAAAGGATGGGAATGTAGTGTTCGAGGATCTAA